CAATTAGGAAGAATATAATTTGATACAAATATGGAGAATATGGAGGAAACAAGGAACATGAACAAAGACAGTATGTTGGGAAACAGAAGCTTCTTTGATGAAAGGTGAGAAAGTTATGTAAGGGAAGTGGTAGGTTCTTCTCATCGGTCTACAACATCTCTAGCCACAAGCAGTTGTCTAAATTTACAATACCAGACATGAACCCCTTTTTATTGAGTGGGCATTACATCTGATCAGATAGCTGTTGGTTATTCACAAGACAGTAGTGTCACTATTTCACTGTTGTGGATATTTTGCTGGTCCAGTCATTGTTGTGGCTTGTAGACTTTGTAGTTTGATAGGAATACAGATTTTTCTCCTCACTTGGCAGCATGCAGAACACCTTCTGGTACTATGAGGGCCAGTTCTCAAGGAGGAAGACACCAGCTCAGTTGCAACTTGATTCCTCCAAATCCTGTGTTCAAAGTGTGTGGTGTCTTTGGAAACAGGGTTATAAGATCAACTTATGTATTTGCAATACAACTCCCATACTTAAGGCTTGGGGACAATTATGGGAGAGGGGGAAGATGAATTTTGAGAGCCAGGGGCTCTCAAATCTTGTTAAGATACCTGATGATGCATGTGTCCCCTAGACATGGTAAGGAAAAATGAACCCATGAAATCTCAACATCTCAGTTGCCAAAACAAGAGCAGCATAATAACATCACCCTTTGGCATGCAAATATGGACACTGGAAATTACACATGGTCACATGCCTAGATGAAGAGCTATAGGTAGTCAATAGCTACTGAAAGGGAGAATAAGTTTCTTCCAGGGATGAGTTTCCACACAGGTTGTTCAATCCCAAGTGGTCAGCCCTGGTCATATGTACATAGGAGCAATACTAAATGGATAAAAAAGTGGTGTGTACATGTAACAATGATAAATAAAAAGGACATCAGTGATTTGAGAGGGAGTCAGGAGAAGTAGGAGGAGTTTGAAGGCAGATTGAGTGATTGAAATTTATTTTCCAATGTATTGCAAGGAATGAGAGCAGGCAAAGTTGAGAGTGAAAACTGGCAGCAAGCAGCTTCCTTCCAGGGGAAGATTTGCTCTGTAAACCAGCAGATGCTAAAGTTGATAATATCTAGAAAGATCACCCTTTATCATTTATAAATGGTCAATAAACATTAATAAGCAATTATATTCATAATAGGATAGGCAAGCACTTTAACCAATGAGCCATCTCTCTAGCCTTCTTTTGTTCCTTGATTCCATCCACGTTCAATGTGAGTTTTCCTTCCTCAGTTAAACCTCCCTGCAAATGTCCTCCCAGACACACCTAGAAGTGTATCTCCTAGGTGATTAAAAATCTAGTTGCATTAACAATGATGACTAATTATCACAGGTCTTAGGTAAATTCTATTTTCTTCTAGGTTGAAAAATAAAAAGAAAACATATGCCTTCCAGCTGCCCATCTGCTCTATGTCTTTCTTAGATAGATAGAGAGGAAGGGAGAAAGAGACAGAGAGATGTAAGCATAGATGATAGATGAAAGAGGTAGTAATCACATTTACATTATGCAAAATAGAACTGAGGTGAAAATCTGTCACAAGAGACAAAGAAGTTCATTCTATATTGTCATTCTGAATCAAGACTTCAGCATGAACAACTAACAGTGTGTATATTCCTTCTGTATCATTACATACAAACACATAAAAAGAGATAGAGGAAATGCTATACTAGACTCCCATTTTTACTAACATTGGACATAATATCCAGACAGAACATTAGTAAGAAAGCAGTAGATATGAACAGCACTGCCGATATTCAAGAACTTTCAGCCCACAGGGCACTCATGGAGCTCTCCAGGACAGGTTACTGAGGGTCACAGATCAGGTCACGGCATTAGGAAGATTGAAATCCCGTGTGTTATTCAGACAACAATCAGGTGAAATTAAAAATGACTAGTAAAATGGGAAGGTAGGTCTGGAGATGCACACCCATAATTCCAGGCACTTGGGGTGCGGAAGAAGGAGGATTATTAGTTTTGGGTGAGAATCAAAAAAATAAAAGGTAAAAACGGGAAAGGGATGTGGTTCAGTGGTAGAAATGCCTGAAAACAGCTGTGAACCTACACAAAACTACACGCTTACTTCAAATACGATGAGATGTTTTTTGTTTTGTTTTGTTTTCTTTGTGTGTGTGTGTGTGTGTGTGTGTGTGTGTGTGTGTATTGGTGTGTATGGACATTCATTTGTGTGCAAATGCCACAAAACACTAGGTTCCATATCAAGCAGTATCAAAAAAATAATAATCGTGAGAATGAAACAAGAATTCACACAAATTCAAGTGAGCCAAACAGCATGTTCTTCAATAAGCATCAGGCCCAGACACATCCAACACTTGACATTATGACATGATACTGTCGTCTGCAAAGTTCACACTTTAGACCACATAATAAAGTGGGTTTTTTTTATTACATATGTGGGACTGGAGAGATGGACCAGTGGCCAAAAGCACTTGCTAAGTTTGCAAAGGACCTGTCTTGATCTTCTTTGGGTCCTGTGTAGGCAACTACAGCCGCTGTGAGCTCATGAGTGCAGGAGTCCCGGCACGTCCAGAAGACACTGTTTCACTCCAGTCCTCTCTGACCTTAGACTCTTACGATCTTTCTGGACTGTCTTCCAAGATGATCCTGAGCATTGCAAGGAGGGATGTGACATAGATGTCTCTTCTGTGGCCGAGCAGTCCATAGACATTTATCCTCTATATTTTGACCAGTTGTACATTTCTGCTTTAACTGCTGTCCACTGTGCAAAGAAACTTCTCTGATGAAGTATGAGATCTGTATAAATCTGTGTGTACTGAGAAATGAATTTAGAGGTTTGCTATTATGTCAATTTGGCAAAATAATGGTAGTATGTGTGTTCCCTGACCCAGGTTCTTGTCCACTTTTACAGTACCACGAATAAATTGCCTCTACTCAAGAAGCAGTTGGCTGACCCTATCTATAACATTTATGCCACTACTGGATCCATGGGCATATTTTGCCCCACCAGTTATTATTGTAGCAAACAGGGTTTGTATCTGTGCAGAGCTATTGGTGATTCTTCACCCAGAGGAATGCATAGCACCTTCTGGTACTATGAAATCTAGCTACTGGGGAGGAAGCTTCCTGGTCAGTATCAACTTCATTTCTGTATGTCCTGTAACAAATGCGTGTGATGTCTTTAGCAATAAGAATTTTATCATCAAGTTCTGGTGATATGCACACACACACACACACACACACACACACACACACACACACACGATTATATATATTATATATATATATTATATATATATATCACAAAACAGCAGATTTCTGTATTGCTTTTTCAAACATCCTCTGTGTTGGTTATCTATCCGTTACCTATCTTCCCTTCCCTTCTCCATCCCACCTCATGTCCCTCTTCCCAATTCAACCTCTCTCCACATCTACCTTTAAGATGTTTCTTTCCCCTCTGCGCCAATGAGCCCCTTCTAGCTTCCTGGATTGATATGTGTATTTAACTTCTTTAAATTTGTTTTAAGAGCTGGATATTACATAACAGTCATATCATGTTTTCATTATCCAATCATCAATTGGTGGACATCTAGGCTCATTCCATTTCCTGAATATTATGAACAGAAGAACAGTGAACATGGATGAGCAAGTATCTCTACACTATGCACATATGCCAAAGAGTGGTATACCTGGGTCATATTTTAGTTATATTTTCAGCTTGTCAAGGAACCTTCCTACTGGTTTCCTTCCATAGTGGTGGTACCATTACACTCCCAGCAATAGTGAATAAGTGATCCTCTCTGCCTATCTTTGCAAGCATTTGATATTTTTAATAATTTCTTGATAACCACTATCCTAATTCTGGCACAACAGAAACTCAAAGTGGTTTTAATTTGCATTTATCTGATACTTATTGCCCTTGGCCCTTTTTAATTATTTCTTCCCCTTTTTTTTTTTTTTTTTTGGTTTTTTGTTTCGGTTTTTTGGCTTTTTTTAACTTTCTTTTTATTTATTCTATGTGTCTTTTACATCACATATCTTGATCTCATCCATTTCCCCATCCCTTCACACCTGCCCTCTGCCCTTGCAACACCCCTTCCCCAAGAAAATAAAACATGTCTTGGGTTGGGGAGATTACTGGACATGATAAGGACCACACAGTACCGTATGGATGGATGGGCTGAAGGAATGAAAGAGAACCCCCAAGGGGAGGCTCTAGGAGGAAAGACCAGCCCTCAGTCACTCTCGCTGAGACTGGATTGGCCCAGGAATAAAGAAGTTCTCCTTGCAGCTCTTTCTGATGTCAAAGTAATGAGGCAGTTAGTGGATGTGTCTGTGGGAGAGCCTGTTAATGCCAGCAAAGAGACTGGTGCCTGATCCAGCCACAAGCCAGGAGAAATGAAACCATGCCTGCTTGGGGTGATATTTCCTTTCTCTGAAATGAGAAACCTCATGATTCAGAGCACAGGCTCTGCAGCGTCCAAATCTCCTGTGTCTGCAAGTGCTGCCAAGCGCCGTGGTCTCTCATCTGTGTGTTTGAGCCGGCGGAAGGAAATACCATGATCACCATCCTCACTGTCCTGTTCTGCATTGGTGAGATTCGCAGAGGTGGAAGGGACATTGTAATCTGTTTGAGAGTAAGATCCAGATTTCTAAGGAAAATGCAGGGACTCAGGGGGGCTCTTGGGAGAATGCAATTTGCTGAGCATTTGGGGGACAAATATCTTCCAGGAAATACTCCTCCAGGCTTGAGTCTGAGTCCCAGTACTACCATAGTGCAGAAAGGTGAGTAGCTTCACAGCTGTCCCAACTCCTTCATCCTCATTTGAGACAACAAATACTGTCCTGTGCTGCGAGCATGGAGAATGGTGGGTGAGAGGTGATTCTGTTGTAATCTGGAAGGTCCTAGAACTAAGTGCAAGAATGAGGGAGGTGATATCTTGGGACCCAACTTTTGAATATTTTTCAGAAGCACTCCCCTTACCCATCCTTTGGGCTGAGCCAGGTTCTATCATCTCTTGGGGGAAGTCGGTGACCATCTTGTGTCAAGGAAACATCCAAGCACAGGAGTACTACTTAAATAAAGAAGGAAGAACATCACGCTTGTACAGCCAGACCGTAATGGAGCCTGGGAGCAAGGCTATGTTCCCCATCCTATTCATTACAGAGCTCTATGCAGGACGATATCGCTGTTACTATGAGAGTCCTGCTGGTTCTTCAGAGCACAGTGACATGCTGGAGCTGGTGGTGACAGGTGAGAGGACACTTACTGGTCCAGTTCCCTGCCACGGCATAGACACAGGGAAAGGATGTTGTGAGCTATGTGAACCCTGTAACATCCTGCCTCCTTCTCTCTAGATGTCTATAGCAAACCTAGCCTGTCAGCCCTGCCCAGTTCTGTGGTGACCCCAGGAGAGAACGTAACCTTTCAGTGCGTCTCATGGTTGGGGTTTGAAACCTTCATTCTGACCGAGGAGGGAGAAAACAAGCTCTCCTGGATGGGTGACTCACAGAGACATCCAAATGGGCACATGCAGGCACTTTTTCCGATGGGTCCCGTAAGCCCCGGCCACAGGCGGAAGTTCAGGTGTTACGGGTATGACAACAGCAATGCCCAAGTATGGTCAGCACCTAGTGAACCCCTGGAGCTCATAATCTCAGGTGAGAATCTCTTTCTTGACACAGCTATTTCAAAAATAGTTCTTACTTCGTTTTGTTTGTTCAAATAATGTAATTTTAACTGGCATAAAACCATTGCGCATGGTATTGTGGTTCGTAAAGGTATCCCTCCATACACATTCATTATGTACTTTGGGTATATTCACACCGCACCTCACTATCTGCTACTTTCTCCCTCCTCTTAGTCTACTCCCTGCCCTGGAAACTTTCATTTCTCCTTTCGTGCCATGCATACATACATGGTTTTGTGTATCTGTCTATAAATGCAAGATTTATTAGGAAAGCAAACATGTTTCATAACATCTGAAAGACCTGAATTTCCTTTATTCCTTTGTGCTGACATATTGTTCTGGCGAAGACATCAAGCACTGAACTGAATCAGAATGGAGAGTGGACTCTTGCCTTTCTGGTTTTTACCCACTGTGCCACCCGGTCAGCATTTGATTTCCTTGAGAACCATTCCTCTTTGATAAAGTGCTGCCCAGCCGCCATGAACTTAGAACTTACGTGTGTCTGTAGTTTCTCTTGCTGTAGGTTTCTAGCTCTTTTGCCTAATAAGGGTCAGTTAGAACACAAGAAATCATTTCTACTCTGCTGCTGTAAGAGCCAATCTTCAGCAGCTCAGGAACTGAGGGAGAGCCACAGAGTTGGCTAAGTAATCATTCAGTTGGACTTTTCTATCTGAGGGAGTAAAACTTATTTCTCTGGGACTGGCAAGTGGGGCAAAACTTAACTGTGGCTAGTGGAAAAAAGGGAAATGCACACACACACACACACACACACACACACACACACACACCTTTAGGATCTTTTTTATCATCTCTCTCTAATCTCTTAAATTTTTTCTTATTTATGTCCAGATGTATCACATTTATATATACTTAATTTTTCCCTACAGCTTATATACCAGAGCAAAATCTTTCAAGCAATATAAAAATTACAATGTGGATATATTCTATTTCTTAAGTGAATGATCACAATGCAGACAGGTTAAAAAAACATAATGTTTTCCATATCTCTTTCCAATCTCTTTCATGATTAAACATTTTAGGAATTATAGGTGAAAAACAAATTACCTCCAAGAACCTATATACATTCATGTCCAAGCAACTTGTTATAGATTAACAGAGCATAAGCAAGCAAAGTATTTTTCTCAGCCAGTTCTTTTACTGACAGGCTGCATTTTGCTGTTACAAAGAAAGGATAAATCACTTTATTATTTACCTCAAAAGGTAATCTTATAAAAAAATCTTAAAAGAATCACAAATCTAAACTTTTATACATGAAAAACATCAGTCAGCTCTACTTTAAATCCTTGGGGTGCATATCCTTTTATTAATAGTATTTTATAGTAGGAAGCTGAGGGCAGAAAATGGCACAAGGAATTGATTATCACTCTTGATGACCAACCCATCCTAGCAAGAAAGATATGTCAGCTAATATTAACTGGGCTATCTTTGTTCTTGTTTTTTGACCTCACTGAATCCCTTGTTCAGCTATTAAAAGTGTGTCTTTCTAAACTTTAAATTGTTCCCCAAGATTTTCTACCTCAAAGTTATTAACAAAACACCTTAACCTAACCTTTCTAACAGTTCTACAAGTCTAAATTCTTCCTAAGGGTGGTGGTTGAATCATTAATCTGCTCCAGGAGCAATGCTTGGAAAAAGTCAATCACTGTTATTGTAATACCAGTAATACTGCCCAGTGAGGGACTAGAAACTCCCCAAGAGTTTTCAAACATACTACCCATAGATTATGAGGGATGTGGTGACCATGAGAGCAATGATCAGTGCTATGCTCAATAACAGCATGAGGTCCTCAGGACATGTAGTCCTCTGGACTTTGCCTCTCCAAGGCTTACTAAAGTTTGGCTTTGTCAACTGCCCTTTCATGTTCCATGAGTTCTAACACTGCCTGTTTGTCCCATCACATAGCTTCTGACATCACTATTCCATGTTTGTTGAGATTTTTTGTGTGTGTCATATGGCCAGTTCTAGAGAATGTCTCATGGGTTGCTGAGCAGAATGAGTATTTTGCAGTGTTTGAATGGGACTGTCTGCATATGCCTGGCAGTTCTATTTGATTTACAGTATCATTTAACTCAGGTGTTTCTCTCTTTGTGTTTTATTGGCATGACCTGTTTATTGGTGCAAGCAAAGTATTCAAGTCACCTACTATTATTGTGTTGAGATTAATCTGCATTTTTACATACAGTAGTATCTATTTTAAGATCCTGAAATCATGTATGTGATGCATACATGTTTGGAATAGTATTATCCTCTTAATTGACAATTCCTTTAACCAATATGAAGTGGCTTTCTTTATCTCTTCTGATTAGTTTTGGCTTGAAATCTACTTCATCAGATATTAGAATAGCAACACATACCTGCTTTATAGTTCTTTGTATTTTAAATGTGTCTGCCCATCCTTCACCCTGAGGTTGCATTTGTCTTTGATGATAAGGTGGGTTTCTATGGAGACAAGAAGCAGACAAGTCCTATTTTGTAATCCTATCTGCCAGTCTGTGTGCTTGACTTGGAAGTTAGGATCATTAATATTTAATTGTTATTGGAGGATGTGCATTAATTCCTTTTGTTTGGTTGATTCTGATTTGTTTGGTTGTACTTGTCCGGTTCCTACTCTTCATTTAGTCCAACAGTGTTTATGCTTTCCTGTTGTCTCATGAATATATTTATGTTTCTTTTCAGTTTGAAGTTATTTCTTTTTTCCCTTTTATTGAAAACAGATTCTTTTTCCTCACATAAAATATCCTGACTCTGGATTCCCCTCCGTCTACTCCTCCAAGTTCCTCCTCAAATCTCCTCCCATCTGGATCCATTACATTTATGTCTCTCATTAGAAATCAAACAGGCTTCTAAAGGATACCAATAAAATAAAATACGTAAAATGAGCATGGGTTCTTCAGGAAGATGGGAATCAACCTACCTCAAGACCCAGCTACACCTACCTCTCTTAGGCATATACTCAAAGATTGCTTTGTTCTACCACTGATGCACTTCCTCAACCATGTTTATTGCTACTCTAGTCACAATACCTAAAAATTGAAAACAACCTAGATATATCTCAAGGATAATTGGATAAAGAAAATGTGACAAGCTTACACAATGGACTAGTATTCAGTAATTAAAAAGATCAAATCATGAATATTTGAGGTAAATAGTTGGAACCAGAAAAAAACATTCTGAGCAAAGCGACCCAGACCCACAAACACAAATCTAATATGTATTCATTTATGTGTATATATTAGCTAAGTCAGTGATATCCAAACTATAGAACCACAGAGGTAGGCACAGAGTAAATGACTAGGGAGAACAGATAGAGCTTCCCAGGAAGGGAAATAGAGTACATAGTTACCAAAAGGTTTTGGGGTCCAGCCCCTCCATAGTCTTCTCCCAGAGTCCCAGAAGAGATGCTACCAGTGGTGGATTGATCTAAGGGATTCTCTAATAAATCTATGTACAAAAAACTCTTTCATCCACTCACTTTATTTTTCTGAGTTCTCTCTGCACTGCTTCTATTCTGGTATCTTACTTAGCTTCTTTCCCTCTGTGTTCTATCTTAATTCTTTCATCTTAGTTCTGCCCCAAGTTGGTCTTTCTCATCTTGTTCTTACCCTTCTTTGCTCCTCTTCATTCTTAGTTACTCTCTATAATCTTCTAAATTCTCTCTCATTTTTTCCCATCCATTTCTTCCCCATCTCTTTAGTTCTTCCCATCTTATTCTTACCCATCTAGTTCTTTCCCATCTGGCTCTTCCTCATCTTCCATCTCATTCTTCTAGTTCTCTCTTCTAGTCCTCCAACCTCGTTCTCCCCCAATCTAGTTCTTGTCCAATCCATTCCCTCAAGTCTCTGAGGTTTACAGTTATATACCCATGCTATAGCAATGCTCTGGCTAAGGCAAGATCACCAGGCTTGAATTCCCTCAGGGTCAAAAGGAGGGGCAATAAGACCCACACAGAAGAGCAATAATTGCCAGCCATCATCTGCAACCCAAAAAGGGAAGTGACTAATAGGGAATAGAATCTACTGAGGGCTAAATTCAGTTACTATCTGAGCAAGGGGAATTTTATGTGCTCAACAATATTCTTAGAAGTGGTTAAAGTGTTAGGAGTCTATCAGTGATGAGTGAAAATAAAACTGCCTTATTTTCCCTTGGGCCCTTATCTGTCCAAGCTACCTTGGCTACTGTGGTTTTTTGGCAGGATGGGGGAGTGCACTCGGTGGCTGGGCAGCCTGAGTCATTTTGATGTACCTGTAAGTAGAAACTCTTTAGTTCTGAGGTAATAGTTAAAGGTAGATCTAAAACTAGAGATAAGATTTTGGAAAGGGAGAAAGTTAAGCTTAATTAGCACATCCACCAGGCCTTCTCAAACAGATAGCCTGGGGCTTAAGTTTGTTCTTAGAGAGTACAGAGGTATCTCTGACAAGATATTTTTGTCTGTCTGGGTATGGTCCTGGTTGGATGCTGCTAATGACGATAATTAAAGGGAGGCTTGAACTGGGGTTCTGGCTGTGTATAGCTGTCAGCACAGAAGTTTATCTAAATATTCCATTGTAGAGGGGACATGGCGCCCAATAAATGATCAACACACTGTTCTTAGAAAAAAGAGTTGAATGAAAAAGCTACAATAGCACAGAAGAAATGCCATTGTAGGAAAATGACTAATGCTCAAGAGCTAATATCACCAAGACTCCTTTTAAGCCTCAGTTTGACCTCTGAAAGACCCTTGTCTTCTTCCAGGTATTAGCTTGTCATAATCAGCTGAAAACCTACTTCCTATTCTTGTGGCTTGCAGCATATAGTGATGGATGAAATATCCTTTGGATATATGCCCAAGAGTGGTATAGATCAATCTTGAAGTAGATCAATTCACATCTTCCTGAGGAACCTCAACAATGATTTTCTTAGTGCCTGTGTAAAACTACAATCCTGCCAGCAATGGAGAAGTGTTCCAGTTAC